CAGCAGGAAGCTCACTGTGCTAGCTCTGACCTCGCTATTATTCTTGGCATAGGCCATTCAGTTTCATGTTACTGACCCCTCTGCTGTTCTGAATACATGTTTTTTTTTTCCACATCGTAATGGGAGCTGGCATGCAAAGTCAAGGCCACCTCATGTGCTGCCAACAATGGTCCATTCTTAGAGGAATCACTTTCCAAAGCCATCGTGGGAGCCGTTGAATTAAATCCCGCTGCTTGGAAGCTAGTGGTTGTCCTGGGGGAAGGTGGGCAGAGCTTTTCACCATCACTTGGCAGCGTTGTTCAACCTGTCTGGGGAGATGGGGAGTCCCTGGGTGCTCCTGTGACCTAAGCACTTAACACCTATTCATGGTGCCCACTGTGCGGGGCACAGGGTGGGGACCTAAGAGCCGCCCCTCTTCACCCCCCTTCCCAGCCATGGCCAACAGCAGCTGTTGTGGCTGGGACTGTTAGGGCTCCGCAGCCTTGAACAGCCCAACAGGAAATCACATTCTATTTTTTTCTTCTGGCTCCAAGCGGCTTTCTGATGATTGCGTATTCCAGTATGGGGTTGTGTGTCTGCTTATTATTTCATTCTGGATGATGGTGTGACCTGTACTGAACATGGTAGGCAGGAATAATTACTATCATCATTATTATTTTTAACTGTGCACCATTGAGAGAAGCAAGTGTTGTCGGAGAACAGAATTATCTTTCCCCTCCCCCCACTTTTGTTTCCCCAATGAGCTCTCAATTTAAATTAAACAGAGATTGCTCATCAACAGAAGGTTAGGGTGGTGGTGATGGGGGGGCGTGAAATTTAAGTCATTTGTTTCTTTTTTGTGGAGGGAGCAGATATTAGCTCTTATATTTCTCCCCTCTGATATGGATGACTTTTCTCTTTTCATAAAACGGCCAATAATAATAATAATAATATGCAGAATTTAGACCTCTCAGGCAACATTCTTGCAATGACTTAAAAACTGGGGAAACCAAAATTCATTACATTTGAGTTCACATCTGCATTTTGCTTTGGGGCCTTGTGGTAGGCTGAATAATGGTCCTTCAAAGGTGTCCATGTCCTAGTCCCTGGCCCTGAGAATATGTTAATTTAGATGGCAAGAGAGATTTTGTGGATGTAACTAAGGATCTTTAGGAAGATGAGCTTGGATTTTTCCATGTGGGCCCAGTGTAATCATAAAGGTCCTTAGAGGAGGTCTATAGCCATACCATCCTGAATGTGCCCCATTTCGTCTTAGAAGAGGGAAGGCGGGGCTCAGAGGCAGAGTAGGACATGTGATGATGGAAGCAGGGTCAGAGCAATCTCAGGAAGGGGCCCTGAGCCTGCAAATGTGGGAGGCCTCTAGAAGCTAGGGAAGGTAAGGAAATGAATTCCTCCTGA